CTGTGCCTTGCCGTGTGGCAGAGGCCTGAGCCAACGGAGGACAGTGTGTTGTGATGAGTCAGGGCACAGACAACACCCGTGTTGCTCATCGTTATGCTCGTTTTCACTGCGGTCCTCGACGTGGGAACATTTTATTTTGTGCGGTATGGAGAGCACTCGTCCGGTGGCATATCGCCGTGTGGTGGTGTCTGGCTCAAAGGACCCTGTGGAATACTTTGTGAGGGCGAAGGATGATGGCAGGACTGTCGTGCCCGCACAGACGGAGACGAGAACAGGCTGGTTGGTGTGCCCTGTAAGATTGTGCGCTCGATTGCGTCATTGGATGCGTGCAGGGCAGGTGGCTCTCCGGTGTTTGTTGGCTTCACGGCCAACCCGCTGGCTTATTGTGAAGGGCATTCAAGGGCATTCGTTCCCTGAGGGTGTTCCTGTTGTGTGGTCCGCACAATGCAGTGCCCGCTCCATTGGGCCTTTTCTTTGATGGGAGGATGGTCTGTTGCACCTCTTGGGCCCCTGTGGAGGGGAGGGTCATGGGGCAACATGCCCACCGCTTCGGTGTTGGTGCACCGCGTACTTGTGGCCGCGTTACGCAGGAGGCATAGTTCTCCGTTGCAGGATGAAAGCAACGTGCTCTTGTCCTTTCACAGCAATGCGCGGTCTTCTTGTTATTTATTTTTAGGCTTTTCTGCAGGACAACGAGTTTGTAAATGGCTACGAGGGATGCGTGGCTGCAGGGTTTGAGCGCCGTTGGTTTTTTTCTGACGGGCGGTGTTGAGGAATTACAGGCGCTTGCAGATGCCATCGCCGGTGTGAGGGCAGGTGTTTCAGCCACCCGAAGCGCGGCTGTTGGGAGGACGAGTTTCACTCTTGCGGTGGAGGCAGGCACCAAAGGGGCGAATGTGCGGGCTCACCACCCTACTCTCTGTACTGTTTTGCCGCGACGACTGGATCTGATCGCCAGCCACATTGAGCCGTCGCCATGTGGCCGCAACGTTACCTCGAAGCGGTCGAGAGGCCGCAGGGCACGGCATTTGCACTCATTTGTGGAAGTGTCATGGGGAAGAAGTGCGAGCCTCTTGGCCTCTGGCATCTCGCTGCCTTTTGATGCCATATTCGGTGAGTCCGTGGGTACTGTCTGGTGCTTCTGCCTTTTACTGGATGATTGGAACTGCTGAGATGTGGAGGGTATTTGCTGCGCCTTCTTTTTTTGGGTATATTTTTCGCACGCCGTGTTCGAGACGGTTTTCGATTGCCGCATTGCATGGGGTGCTGCAAGGCGATACTTTATGCCACGCGATTGTGTTGTGGGTGCCGTGCGGTGGAAATATTTGACGTCGTTGAGGTGCCCTTGGAGGGTGGGAGTGGCGATCCTCCGGCGCAGGTGATCATTGACAGGTTCATACGCCCCTTTGAATTTGCTATCTCTCCTTTGTACGGACATGAACTGGCCGCGGATATTTCAGGGGATATTCAGGTTGCCACGGTACTCCATACATTCAAGGTGTTTTCCTCTGCGCCATTAACCGCGGCGGGTGACCGACCGGTCCCTTTGGAGGATTAGGGAGGAGGATTCGTTCAATTTGTTCCGCGGCTGGAGTCACTTCCTTCATTTCTGTCGGCTAGACACGTCCACACCGTTACATTGCGTTCCCTTCCTTCAATGGGAGGAATGGGTGATGACGGAATTCGAGAGACAGTGGCTCTTTTTGTTGCGTCGCTGAGTGATCGGTCAGCGGCAGTTGGTGCATCAGCCCTTCCTGAGGGTCGGCGACACAAACTCAGTGGCCGAGACGATTTGGATTGAAGTTCACAGGGGAAGAATGCGCGCTTTACTTCCGTGCTTGTGCCGATGGAATGCAATTATTTGCCCTTTCCTGTGATGCCTCGTGTGTGCCACGACACCACATTGAGGAGAGCACGAGGTGCTATTGACCATGCTATTTTGTTAGGCACCACGGCTCTTTTCGGGTGTGTGATTCGACTGTGTGGTGGGTCTGTTGAGGGGAGGACGTGGATGGGCCGCGCTCACCCGACCGCTGCGCCTCATTTTGCTGGACGCCCTGACCAAATTGCTGGTCCCCTTTTGCTTGCCTTACCGGGCCTGGCGACCTCTTGAGGAGCGGTGCGGCGGCGTGGACTGTCGGGCTGCTGAGGAGGCCGTGGCTGCGCGGGATTTCCTGTGGATTTTTTTTTGCGTTTCAGGACTACTGTAGAGAGGAGGACATTTCATGCCTCCTCCACGTCCAGGAGAGTAGATGGAGGGATCGCGGTTGTGGGATCGCACTTCACGAGGGTCCGCGCTCGTTGATCGCGTCGACGGCGCGCTCTGTGTGTCTTCGACCACTGCCGAAGCATCCCGCCGTTTTTCTTCCGGCGAACGGGAAAATCCACCGACACGTCGAGGGGTGGTGGGGGATGTTGCAGCGAGGAACGCTTTAAAGGTTCTACAGTGAGGGAGCGGTGCTTGCAAGGATCCCGCAGCACTTGGGATTCTGCTTGCCTTTAATTTCTCCTCTCTGTCTGTTGGTTGGTGCCGTTTGCCGGAGGGCGTCTTGGCCCGTGCGCAACCGTCAACTTCTCTTCTTCTGTGTGTGGCCTCACACTTTTTGGTCCGTTGTGGACGGTGAGGGTAATTACTGTGGCGGTTACGACGAAGCGGATGTGTTACGCCGTGAATGGTGGCGCCACCCACTCCTCTGCCACGTTCTTTTTTGATGCTTTTTATATTTTAATTTGATTTCTTGCACACAAACACACTCAGGCTAGGAAGGAAGCTACGACCAAGCGCTAAACGCTACTGTGAAATTCGAAGGCTCTGAAAGGAACAACAACAGCACACACACACCGCCCACATATTTGTATGCTCTCACGCGTTGCTGCAGGGAAGGCACCCCGCACACACAACCGTCGCCGCGTGACCGGATCCAGCGGCATGAGGAGGGAAGGAAGAGAGAGTGAGCCGCAGAGGCCCCACATGTCCCGGCGTGTCATTACTTCAGCGGTGCTTCTCCTCGTCGTGATGGGGATGTGCTGCAACACTGTGCAATCCGTTGTGGTGTCAAATTCAGGGCGGGGAGTCGATCCTTTTGTGCCGCAGACGACGCTGGTGCAGTCGGAGGATGGGACTGTTCCAGTTACGACGAGGGATTCGTTTGCCTCACCCTCTCCTGTCAGTGCTGGTGGAGTAATTGCTGCTTTCGCCGAGGGTCACACGGATGCCGAATATCAAGGTGGTCAACTAAGTGAGCCCTTTTCTTCTGATGTTCTTGCGAGGTGCATTGACTCTGCGTGGGATTGGTCCACTGTTGTTGGTGAGGTCAATAAAAGATACATGGAGGGCACACACTGTGCTTGGTGCAGCGGAGGGAAAGGGGAGTTTGGGTGTTGTGCTCCGCCGCACAACAACTACGAAGGGCCACGGAGTGTTTCCTCTTGCGGGAGGCTCTGATGTGTCCTACGAAGGTGTGTGTTGGAGAGAGGGTGGCTTGGAGCTGAAACTGGTTGTGGGTGATGTCACGAATCCCACGGGTGGCAAGCGGAGTGGACGGATCGAATGGGGCGACCCCAAACCACTCCCGGAACGGATCTCTTCTGCTTCTCACGAAGGTGACTGGACGGAGTTCATTGCTTCTGGTGGCGCAGGTGTTGTGATGGAGGATGGCACGCTTGTGTTTCCTCTGATGACGAAGGATGAGGCAGAATACGTTTGCTCCATGATCATTCACTCGACGGACAACGGCAGTGCCTGGGCACTCTCTGAGGACATTTCCCCTGCGGAATGCCACAACTCCCGCATCACCGAATGGGAGGGATCACTTCTCATTATTGTTGACTGCGAGAGTGGCCAGAGGGTGTACGGGTCGCGTGGCATGGGGACAGCGTGGACGGAGGCCATTGGGACACTCTCAGCCGTGTGGGCCAACGCACGATCAGGAGTCTCCCAGAAGGAAAGCCTGCGTGTGGATGCCCTCATGACCGCGACCATTGAGGGAAGGAAGTTCATGCTGTGCACTCAGAGAGGGCATGCCTCGGGGAAGGAAAGGGCCACTGCGCTCTGCCTTTGGGTCACGGACAACAACCGCACTTTTTCTGTTGGACCGGTTGACGTGGACAATGCTTCAAAGCGGAAGACAGAATTGGGGGACTGCGGTATGTAATTCGATACACCCAATTCGTTGCGGCGGCGTGTGTGCTGTGCGCATGGTTCTATCTTGCGGTGCGGCGTGGATGGCGTTGCTATTGCGTGTGCCCTTGTGTATGCACTGTGCTGCGGGCATCTCTTCCCCATCACACCGCCCTTGTGTGTGGGACAGTGGAGGGAAGTGGGGATGTGTGATGGAGTGAGGGTGGCCGTTGTTTCCGCACATTTGCTTCTTCCACACGTGGCACCACTCGGCAGTCTCTTGCAGCACCCAAGCCGTGGATTGAGAGGATGTGAAAGTCCGCTTCAATTACAAGGACGACAAGATGCAGTGCATGACGGCCAACCTGGTCCGCGTGTGGTCGCAGTGCATGGAGCACGTGCGCCAGTACGCGTTGGACGTAGCGCTCATGATTGTGGAGGAGAGGCGGCACGACGTTGTGGTGCTGTGTGTGTTGCGCGGCCGGGGCATGCCGGCGATTGTGAGGGACGTGGAGGTCACGGAGCTGCTGGACTGAGGGAGGTGGTGACGGACGTTGCGGCGCAGCGGGAGCAAATGACGGCTGCGTGTGCTGGAGGAGCGCGTGTTGAAGTGAGCGTGGCGTGCCTGTGAGGGCCTGAGGAGAGGGAGTAACAGCAACAGTGACTGTGGGAGTGTGAGGAACGGTGCACGGCGAGGAGCGCTCCTCTTTTTCATTATTGTTGGTGAACCGCGCCCAACTAATTGTTGTTGTGGTGCGTGACTCTCATTGCTGGATGGGACGGTGCGTGTCACTGTGGGACTTGTTTCTCCTTTTTGTTTTTGCTCTGCGTTGACGTGTTGTTAGTTTGTGCTGAAGGCTGCACGCAAGTGACAGGAGTGATGGCGATGATGATGGCTGGCCGTGTGCTGCTGGTGTGTGCCCTCTGCGTGCTGTGGTGCGGTGCTGCCGATGGTGATGTTGTTGGTCCCGTAACTTCCGGCGATCCTGGTGGTGGGCAATCTCCTCTCGCAGATGGGAGTCATGGTGGCAGTGGAGGTAAAAAGGCTGATATTTCTCATGAAAGTAAAAGTGAACCTTTGGTTGCTGCGTCCGGGGAAGAATCACCAACTGTTCGTATTGATCCGGATGGTGTTTCAAGTCTCTCTGAGGAACATTTACGCCCGGAAAAAAGAACCTCCAACGGAAAACAGGAAGAGTCACAATCACCGCCTCAAGATGCATCGCCGACTAAAGTGAATCCAGCAGAAGCACTTGATTTCCTTCCGCAAGAACGGTTGCTCGGCACACCAGAAAAAGAGGTTATCACTAATGGTGGTGGCGGTGGAACTGCGAACGGGGGAAAAGAGGATACCGACCAGAATGCCGGGTTATCCCCTGACAGCAGCGACTCCTCAGTCCCCCCAGTACCACAAGTCAATCACGTATTACCACCAGCAGAGCCATCACCAGCGATGACCGTTTCAGCAGAAGAAACAAACTCACCAGCACTAACAGGCTCGCAGCATGCAACTGAGAGAACAAGCACGACCTCACCGTCACACAGTAAAACGGCGCCTGGAGCACCGGAAAAATCATCAGGGAATGGTGAGCCAAACCAACACAGAGAAGACTCAGAAACACCAGGTTCGATGAAAGATGGACCTACAAGTCATCCAGCAGAAACACCAGCACCATTGGTATCTACAAGTGGCAGTGATGGAGCCCAGAAAAAGGAGGACAAGGTTGATAACAGTGATCAACGGCCTAACAACAAAGAACCACAATACGGGCACGAAGATGGAAATACCGAGGATGCTCCCACAGCAAATGAAACTGCACCACAAACAGCAAAAACGATCACCACTCAAAAGAATGTTACATCTAAGCCTGGCGACAGTGACGGCAGCACCGCGGTCTCCCACATCACCTCCCCTCTTTCGCTTCTTTTTGTTGTTGCGTGTGCGGCTGCTGCGGTGATGGCTGTGCCTGCATGGAGTGTTGTGCGCTGAATGTGAACGAAGGCTGAAGGCAACTGAAGTGTTTTTGTGCTAGATATTGGCCGCACTTCCCGTGGACCAACAATTCGCGTGGTGTGCGGAGATATCTCTTTTTTTATTATAGCTTTGCTGTTGTGTTGCTGTGGGCGCTGCACCTCCTCTTGTGTGTGTGCGTACCCTCCGTGAGGGGTGCCGACACGACGGACCGCTCTCGCCGTGTGTGCATGCGGTGGAGCCTTGTGTGCCGCTCCTGTTTGCTTCTCCCTCTTCCATCTGTGTGTTGGTGTTGCGGCAGGGCTGTGTGTGTGTGCGTGTTGCCGTGGATTGGAGTGTGTGTCGTGCGTGGTGTGCGGCGTGCGGTGCATGCCTGGCTGCTGCCCTCTCCTCATGTGGTGTGCCCTCTGTGTGTGTCTGCCGCACCTCTCGTCTCCCCTGTTGCTCTCCATGTCCCTCACTGCGCAGATCAGCTCCACACCACTGAACGACCACACTCGCGGTGATGACGACGTGCCGTCTGCTGTGCGCCCTGTTGGTGCTTGCCCTGTGCTGCTGCCCGTCCGTGTGCGCGGCAGAGACTGTTGGAGACATTTCCGCCGGCTCGGGCATGTCGCCCCCTCAGTCAAAAGCGCGAGATAATCCCGATAATGGACAGGATTCAGACGGACAATGGTGCGGAACTGGCAGATAGTAGGAGCGTTGAGGAAGGGTTACGAAATGGGGGCTCGACTCCTCTAAAGAGACAAGAGAACACTGTAGAGGTACAGAAACCAAATACAGAGGCTGCTGCGTTACAGTCGGGAAGTGCGGCGTCCGGTGCAGGACAGGTTTTAAACGAAAAGCCCGGTTCGATACAGGTATCAGGTACGGCTGTTGAGGGACAGGATGGGAAAAAAGCCGATAAGGAAATAAAAGCAACTACTTCCACGACGTCCACGACGACGACGAAGGCGCCAACTACTTCCACGACCGCTGCAACACAGGCACCAAGTACCACTACGACTACAGAGGCGTCAACCACCACGACCACCCGCGCACCGTCACGTCTCCGCGAAATCGACGGCAGCCTCGGCAGCTCTGCGTGGGTGTGTGCCCCGCTGCTGCTCGCAGTATCCGCGCTGGCGTACACCGCTGTGGGCTGAAAGGGAGCATGGGCTGTGCGTGCCAGCACTCAGCCACGGGGACATGTGTACGTCTACTGTGGTCCTATGTATGAAGTAAGAGTAATTACGCTGATTGTTTTTTGCTTTGTTTGCTTCCGCTGCCCTGCTGTGCGCTACGCGTTGCTTCCCACATCCGCCACGTTGAACGCATCCCAGACACACTCATATGCATGCGCAGCGGAGTCTTGAGTGTGTTTTTTTTGTTGTTAAATTGTTGCAGGTCGCTGTGCGTTTTTTGCATTTTCATTGGTTCAATATTTCTCATGAAACGCGTACTGCTTCTGGTGTTTGTGACTGTGTATGGTGTAGCGGCCGTGTCTCTTTCCTTTGCTTTCACTCTGCGTTGACGTGATGTTAGTTTGTGCTGGAGGCTGCACGCAAGTGACAGGAGTGATGGCGATGATGGCTGGCCGTGTGCTGCTGGTGTGCGCCCTCTGCGTGCTGTGGTGTGGTGCTGCGGTGGTGGCGTCGTCGTTGCCTGGTGCTACCACTGTCCAAAGTGCTTGGTCGGAGTATATGTTCCTAAATTGGCATGAACTGCTAAAGAACGAGTGCAAGGCGGAAAATGCTACAGAAACGAATTTTGATGAATCAGCTGTGAAGTGTTGTGTTCATAATGCGATGAGGGAGCTTTGCTACGATGTTTACGGTAAGACTGTCATGGAAAATAAAGACGCTAATGTTGGGGTTATTTGCAAAGAGTATGCTGGAGAACCAAATCATGCTGGTGAATGCCCAAAACAGCAACAGAACCCGTTGCCTGATGCGGAAGCTACAGTGGGACTATCAGTTCCAGAAGTACCGGGAAAGGAAAGAAGTTTGAGAGCACCAGCGGCAGCACCACCGGGAGCATCAACGGCAAAACCAACAGATCCACCACCATCACTGCCTGTGGAAGGACAACATGACGGTGCAGATGACATGCCGGGGCCAAATTCAGAAGAAACCTCAGAGAGCATGAAGACAACCAAAGATTTGGCAGAAGAGGACATTGTCACCACCGCAGACACCAAACAAAATGAAGCATCTAACGGTCAGACCGAAGCAACCACAAAAACACCTCCGCAAGCCAGCGATGATGATGATAACGAAACGGACAAGGGCACTGGAGAAGATACTCCGAACAATGCACCGGAGTCCGATGTTTCCGAGACAGAGGAAAACCACGATGAAAACAAAGGCAATAATTCGAAGGAAACACCGGTCCAAGTTGCGGGTATAAAAACTGTCACGGCGAAGCCTGGCGACACCGATGGCAGCACCGCGGTCTCGCACACCACCTCCCCTCTTTTGCTTCTTCTTGTTGTTGCGTGTGCGGCTGCGGTGGTGGCCGCGTGAGAGTGAGTGTGAGAGAGCCATGCACCGCCCGCACACACACTCTTCCTTCTCTCTCTCTGTGTGTGTGTCCCCTTGCATGGACTCTCGCCCTCACCTCACCCCACGAGGCACACACAATAATGTGCCCATTGTATATATGCATGCACACCCATGCAGGCCCGTTGGTGCTCTCTTTTGCACGACACGCACCGCTGCCGTCCTGCCTGGCTGCATGGGCGGAGCACCGTAACTGTTTCTGTTTTGTTTTTATTGCATTGAGTGGGCGACCTCTCTCTCTCTCTCCCTCTGTGTGTGTGTTTTTTGCTTTACGGGAGCAGTGAGAGTGTGTGTGCGCTGGTCGTCCCACGCTTCGGCTTTTTCTTTTGTTTTGAATCTTTGCTTCTGTTGTGGTTGAGTGCACCCATTTTAATTTCATTGATTGGTTTTCTTCTTAAAGTGCGGATGGCTGAATTTTCCCTTTTGTATTCTCCTGTTCTTTGTTTCTTCCCACGCAATCGGTCCTTGTTGCTTCAGCGAGCCACGAAATATTTGCCTAACACCCACATCAATGGCTTACTTGCTCTACACCCCGCATTAGTTTGAGACGCTGGTGCTGCTGCATGTGATGATGCCTGTGATGTGTTGTGCATGCGGGTGCTTTGCTGTCACTTTGACGTACCCTCGATTTGTTGAATATGTTATGCGTGCCGACAGCACGAATTGGATCCGCGTTGTTGTGAGGGACGCACCCTTTTTGAGCAGTTGGTGCGCTGCAGCCATACACCGTCATTGGGAGGGATGGATGCCCATCCGCATCAAGGTTTCCATAAGGGACCTGGATGATACCAGGAAGTATTGTATCTCAGAGCGGTACTACGCAATGAATTCATTGAATGGCAATTGCGAGTCTGAAGGTGACGTTGTATCCTCTGCGCACGGGATCATTCTCGAGAATGAAGTTGTTCCTGTTGCTGTCCACCCGCATGCGGATCGTCTGCCCGTGCAGCCACTGGAGGGTTCTTTGATTGTGCCCCCATTTGCCACGGGCAGCGTTTGCATTCGGTTTACGGTGCGTGCTGGGCATTGTTCCACTGGTGTTGCCAATGCTGACATGGTGCTCTCCGTGGCAGAGCGCTGTCGGTGGTGGTGCACTCGACGACTGCCGCGATGGCAGCGAGGAGCCCCGCGACTGCGACGACATTGATGGCATGGAGCTGCGGGATGGCGATGGTGACGGGAGGACGCTGGAGTCGCACTGGTCGCAGCGCCACACGAAGGATGAGTGGATGGCACCGATTGGGAGTGCCGGCTGCTGCACGGAGCTGACGCTGGCCGCACCGGCTGACCTGGGCTGCATGAGGGTGAAGTGGGATATGGCGGAGCCGATGCGCTGGTGAAGGAATTCGTGCTGTGCGCTGCTGCAGAGGAAGTGCTCCGCACCGAACATGAGTGAATATCCCCAGATGTTCTGAAAAGCGTGCGTTCCTGCCAGACGCTGCACGTTGGATCGGTATTCCAGTGGTTGGTGTGGAGTATCCATGAAGGGTCAGCAAAACGCCCGATGGACAGTTGCCCCATCATTGGTCCCGCACTGGATGTGAGAAATGCTGCTGCTGTTATTTGGAGGGGAGAATATTTTTCTGCGGTGCCTGGGGACAAGCCCTCTTCGTGGTGTCCGGACACGCTTCCCACCAACACGACGGATGCGAGGGACCCGGAAGAAACATACATCTCGGTGCTGCCATGCATGCGGCATTGCGGTGCCTCGGCATGCGGGTGCGTCTGAGAGTGACTGAGAGGGTAACGCCCGTTGTGCCCCATGCACGGCCGAGGCGACGATTACGTGGGTTGCTCCGCCCTACGACGAGGGAAAAGCTATTTTCCGTGACCACGCGCAGGTGTGCACGATATCCGCCACCAGCGGCAGCCTACTTCCAGTGGTTCCGTGGGACGGCGAAGAGAGAGCATGTGGAGCAGGACGGTTTCACCGGCATCTACTGAACAAGCTTTGCCACGGGCATCCGTCCCCGATCCAGAGAGCATTGGGACCGGCCGTGGCACACCACCGAAGGATGTCGACTTAGCTGCTCCCCAGAAGCATCCGTCGCCAGAGGAGAAGGAAGTCGCCTCAGGTGCCACGACGGCAACGGAGTGCTCTTGCCCAGCGACACCGCGGGCGCGCCGCAGGGGGCGGAGAGGAGAGCGATCTTCCGGACATCGACGATGTGGCCGCCGATGGTGTGATGTCTGTTTTGGGACAATCATTAGGAGATGAGGCCGCCAGCGACAAGGACGGTGGCGGTGCCACAGCCACGGAACCCAAGGGCCCTGATGCCGCTGATGACACGCAGGGCGCCGTGGACCCTCCACCGAGGGAGGATGATGCGGCGGTGGTGCGCGGGGGTTGGGAGGCCGACATGGAGGACGCCCCGCCTCCGATCCACGGCAGTAACACTGCGGTTGCGGCTTTTCTTCTTCCGCTGATTCTTCTGCTTGCCGTTGCCGCCGCGGTGCCAACACTCAGCAGTGGGTGCAAGAGAGAGGCCTATATCAACTGGCACGTTCCTGTCAGTATATACATACACTCTGCTTGTCTGTATACTTTGTACCAGGGACATGCTGTGTGCACTCTCCCTCTTTTGTCGGTCGCTAATGTGGCGGCACCACGCGTGTATTATGGGTTGGGATAAGAAATTGTTTGACTTCTTCTAGAGGATACTGTGGGGTGTTTGTGTGCGTGTACGAGGGATCTGTGTGGTTTGATTTCCCTATTTTTATTTACCTGCGGTGGCATTGTGTAATGATACTTCCCTTCTCCATTATGTGTGTTCTGGAGTGTCGCTAGGGCACCGGGAGTGGATGCCTGTGGACGTACGCCGTGCATTATGCGCTACATTGGTGGGAGGGGAGACTGACATAACTGGCGGGATTCATAAAGGCGCATTTTTGCCCACAGACCCTGCAGCTGCAGCCTGAGTGGCGCTTTGCATATGGACGTGTGGATTGTTTCTCTCTTGCGAGGCTTTTACTGCTTGTCATTTTCCGCTCGGGTACCGTGCCCGTGGCAGCAGCGGCGGCATCAAAAGGGCTGTTTGTGCGTGGAGAGTCCTTGATTGAGTGCCTGTCTTACTTCTCTGTTCTGTTGATCGATTGTACCGTGTGCCGGCCAAACGGTTGACATGACGTTCTTCTGACGGCGGGGTCCACGTGACATGATGTTGCATCGCGTGCTTTGTTGCGGGTGTGTGATTTCTGCAACAGTCGTTGGGCGGTTGCCTGCTGTGTCGTTGAGGGCGGCCTGGTGACGGGTGTGGATGGACCCGATTGTGTGCCGCGGGAAGGAAGAAGGCAGCGGAGCGATGGACTCACGAGGAGTGCGGTAGCGTGCAGCCATGAAGATTGGCGACAGGGACTCACTGCCGCTGTGAGTTGCCGTGTGTGGTGTTTGTTTCTGTTATTATTAATTTGCGCTGTTGGATGTGGCCGCTGTGGGGGAAGACTGTTTTTTGTTTCTTTTTCACGCCGTCTTGTGATCCTTTTCTGCACCGGCATCACTGTGTTCTTGCCGTACTGTTGCGCCCTCTTTCCCGTCCACTTTGGGGGCAGCTGCGGGTGGGTTTTACATGCCGTGGAGTTGTGTGCCGTGCTGTCCGGTGTTTCATTGTTGCCTGTTCTTCCTGCGTGCACGCGTCCCCCATGCTCATGACAACAACCCTCATGCAAACGCTGCTCCTCCTTTTCCATGCTGCTGATGTGTGTGTGCTCTTCTCATCTTCCTCTCTTTGTCCCTCTCTAGACTGTGTGTGCAGCCGTGATGAATGTGATCACTGGCCGCCTGCTGTTGTTGTGTGCCCTCTGCGTGCTGTGCTGCGGTGTCTACGGTGTTGGCTGTTCTGAAACAAGTTTAGCCGCTCCGGGTACTGTGCCCGGAGACTGCAACAATCTTCGAAGTGAAAACAAGACCATTGGTGGCAATGGAAGAAACAACAATAAAAAGGCTGGCGGCAGCGCATATGCGATGCGAGGGTAGGTTGTACCCTTTTTTGCATCCCGCCGGTTACTTTGTATGTGGGCGCTGCTCGGTGTGTGCTGACGGGTGACGAATAACGACGCACCTGCTGCTATTGGTGACCGTCGCTGTGTTTTTCCCGGTGCACTGTTCTTCCATCTCCTGTTCCGTGTGTCTGTGTGCGTGAGTTGTTGTTGTTGGGAGTGGCTGCGGTGGGGATTATGATGATGCCACTCACTGTGGATGGGTGGCGGTGCTCACTGTTTCATCCTCTTTTCTTGGCATGTTTTCTCTCTATTTCTCTTATTTACACACGAAGAAGGAAAAAAAGCGCTAAACGCTACTGTGAAATTCGAAGGCTCTGAAAGGACCAACAGCACACACACCGCCCACACACACATATTTGTATGCTCTCACGTGTTGCTGCAGTGAAGGCACCCCGCACACACAACCGTCGCCGCGTGACCGGATCCAGCGGGAGGAGGAGGGAAGGAGGAGAGAGTGAGCCGCAGAGGCCCCACATGTTTCGGCATCACTTCTACTCTGCGGTGCTGCTCGTCCTCGTTGTGATGATGTTCTGCAACGCTGGTGGGGCTGCATCTACTGAGGAGGTGTTGTCAGATTCGGAATCTTCAAAGAGGAAGTTGTTTGTTTGGAGAGACACGACGGATAAGGGAACGGTGATTTCGCTCTTTTTTCCCAGTCTTGTTGAAGTGAATGGTGATTTGTTTGCCGTTGCCGGTTCGCTGTCCACGAAGAAGAATGATGAAGGCGGTTTTGCTGGGATTGCCTCGGAGCTCCTGACGTGGGCTGGTGAACAAGCAAAAGAGTTGGATAAAACGAAACTCAAGACACAAGTACTGGAGGAATGTCCTTCTGGAAAAGAGGAATGCCCCACCCAAGCAGTGGATCAGGCTGGCTCTGAAAGCGGAGCGCAAGTACTTCTGGGTAAGCCAACAACAGTTGTGCAGAGAAGTGATATTTACATGGTTGTTGGAATGTATAACCTTAATGGTGCCGCTGCTACTAGGAATGGTATAAAATATGAATGGGGGCTTTTACTGGCGAGAGGGAACGTCACTTTTGATGATGGGGACGGTAAAAGAATTTATTGGACTGATGTTGACGCTCTCCCGATCTCTTCTAATACTGAACAATATGGATATGTGACAGAACTGCTTGGGAGCGGTGGATCGGGTGTTAAGATGGAGGACGGTACGCTTGTGTTCCCTATGGAAGGCCAGGAATATAGGACGGTGAAGGCGAATGACGCAAATACAGCCAGCTGGAGAAAAAGAGTTTCTCTGTTCATATACTCCCCGGATAATAAGAGTTGGAAGCTGTCGAAGGGGATGTCTGAGGGTGGCTGCAGTGCTCTCTCTGTTGTGGAGTGGAAGGACAAAAAACTCATGATGATGACTGCGTGTGATGGTGGCCGCCAGAGGGTGTACGAGTCCGGTGACAAGGGGGAGTCGTGGACGGAGGCACTCGGGACACTCTCGCGCGTGTGGGGCAACAAACACAATCGATATGAAACGGGCGTTGGGAGCGGGTTCATCACAGCGACTGTTGGAGATGATAGTAAAAAAGTGATGCTTGTCACTCTGCCGGTGTATTCGAGTAAGGGCGGAAAAGAAAAGGAAAATGAAAAGGGTGAACTCCATCTTTGGCTGACGGACAACACGCACATTGTTGATATTGGCCCGGTATCCGAGGAAGATGATGACGCTGCCGCCAGCACCCTGTTGTACAAAAGTGCTGAAAGTGGAAATGGTGATAATGAGGGGGAGAAGTTGATTGCACTGTACGAGAAGAAGAAGAAAGTTAATCACGAACTATCTTACGGTATGGTTACTGTGTGTCTGACTGCGCAGCTGCAGCGGGTGAAGGAGGTGCTGACGACGTGGAAGAAAGTGGACGAACGTGTCTCCCAGCTGTGCACCACTTTACTTGCTGAGAAGGTTGCCTTGAGTGAAATCGCCTGCACTACTGATAAGATCACGGATGGGCTGGTTGGATTTTTGTCCGGCAACTTCTCTGATAACACGTGGAAAGACGAGTACCTCGGGGTGAACGCCACAATAAATAATAAAGGTGTGGCGAAGAAGACGGATAACGGCGTGAATTTCACGGGGCGTGGTGCAGGAGCGCAGTGGCCCGTTGGCAGTCAAGGGGAGAATCAGCTGTACCACTTCGCGAACTACAACTTCACTCTTGTGGCGACGGTGTCCATCGACGGTGAGCCGAAGGAGGGTAATATTCCATTGTTGGGCGTGCGTCTGGACGGTGAAGAGAAACTTATGGAGTTGTCATACGACGGTGGAAAGAAGTGGATATTACTGTGCGGTGACGGAACCCCTAAGGAGCACAGCAGCACTTGGGAGAAAGGGAAAACTCAACACGTGGTGCTTTTGATACGGAACGGTAGCCATGGCTCCGCTTACGTCGATGGTCAGCGTGTGGGTGGGGATGCACCATGTGGATTGGAAACTAAGGCATCGAAAGTAATCTCACACTTCTACATTGGAGGGGATGGAGGCAGTGCAGACAGCACAGGGGTCGAAGAAGACGTGTCTGTGACTGTGACGAACGTCCTGCTGTACAACCGTCCGTTGGATAGCACTGAGATTGACGCTTACAACCCGAATAAAGCCTCTATTCCATTTCTGGTGAACACGACTATTGAAGGAGCCAACTCCTCGTCTACTGCTGGACGACAACAGCAGGCGGGAAAGGAACCGTTATTGGAGAGCAGTATTGCGAATGGGGAGACGGCGGGAGGAACGAATGGGCAGGAGGAGGAGGTCCATCCACAGGTCGGGGACGTAAATGCTGCGGCACTCAACAGCAGCCTCGGAAATGTGTCGCAGGGGAATAACAGTGATGCCGGCACTTTGTGTGAGACTGGACTGCTGCCATTGCTGCTTCTTCTGTTGGGACTGTGGGGGTTTGCGGCTCTGTGAGGCGTGAATGGCTGCCGCGTGGGACAATTGCGACCCCCGCTGCACAGAATTACTTCCAAGAACTAATTTATCCTTAAGATAATTTGCTTTTTCTTGCTTTTGCTTTGTTGTGCGTTTTAAACCTTTTCTTTCTTTTCTTTTACTTCTTTTTATTTTTAAATTATTTTGTTTTTTTTTTTCTTTTTCTTTTATCTCTCACTCCCGCATCCCTTTTTTTGCTTTTGGGGCAATCACTGTGGAAGATTTTTTTTTTCTACTCTTCCCTCTTTAATTGTTTGTTGCTGCACTCTTCCTGTGAGGGGTGCCGTGTGTTTGCCGCCCAACTGCTCCACTCGCACACCCACCGACGCGCTCACGACGACGGCCCTGTGCGCCTCGCCTGCTGCACGCATGAGGAGGGGCCGCGACGAACGGCGCGCTGAGGGAGCCGTGACGTGTGGGCGTGCGACGAGGGCCTGTGGGGCGGCGCACACATTTCTTCCCTCTTGTTTTGTTTTCTTGCGGCCAGGGCGGGCAGACACCCGCAGCGCCACACACACAGCCACACCCTGCCGCCGTGTTTTTTTTTCTTTTTTTGCTTTTCGTGTTCATTTCACGCGCTGGCAGTCCCGCCAGCATTTCTCTCCCTCCTGATGATTTTTTTCTTTTGCTGCGCTCACTCCCGATGGAGTGACGCGACCGCCGTCATGTCTGCGTGCTTCTCTCAGTCCCCACACACGAGTGACTGTGCTCTGCGGGCCGCACTCGCACGCCGATGAGAGGGCTGAGGGGAGCAGCAACACGCAGATGACCCCATGAAATATAAACGATGTGCGGACACATGGAGGTCGGACGGTTGAAACACACGCAACCATCTTTTTAATTTTCTTTTCGGGCAAAATATATACGGACAGTTTGGTGTGGCCACACGGCAGCCAGGCGATTTCTAAATTTGTGTGGAACAGTAATGGACGATTTCTTTTTCATTTATAATTATTTTGTGTGATGGGGTTTACATAAGACGAAGGGGATGTTCTTTTTTGTTTTAAATAAATCTTGTGTGGATTGCCGCTGCTTGGGCTGCAGTGCAGTCATGAGTTTGAGCGGTCCTCTTCCTGTTGTTTCCGCCATGCGTCTCCGCTGTACATTTTGTTGTTGTGCGTCCCTCCACACACTCTGCTCCCTCTTTTCTACTTCTTTGCTTTGTGTTTCTGCAGGCACACACACACACACAAGATGCACATTGCAGTGGATTTGAATGCTCCTTTTGTGGTGCATGCTGGCAGTTGCGTGTGGCGGCTGTTGTCTTCTTCCGTGGCCATGAGGCGAAGGGAGTAGAGGGAGCGCGCACCCCGAGTCTCTTTTCCTGCGGGTGTGGTGCACCGCGTGTGACTGCGTTGAGTTGGGCTCCGTGTCCCATTGAGGGCGGGATGGCAGGAAATTTTGTTGCTGCGTCATGGACGGATGAGGGTTCGCTTGCGCGTGTGGCTGGTGTGGTGGCCGCGGTGTTTTTGCCGTTTCCCTGGGGCTGTGGCGATGAGCTGGGGGAGATGGTGGTGGATGTCTTCTCCTCCTGCATGGTGGGTGGCTGCTGGCGTTGTGTGCCTTCGTTGCGTGGATGCCGTCTCGTGGTGTGTGAACTGTGCGGCTGGGCCTGCTGCCCTCTCCACATGTTGTCTGCTCTCACTCGCCGTATCCGCTGCACTCCGTCCCCCTCCCTCCTGTTCCATTACTTTTCCTTCTGCCTCACGGATCGGCTCACTGACACCAGCGACTCCACTGCGGGTGATGATGACTGCAATGATGACGATGGTGACGGTGCGGCTTCGTGTGGTGTGCGCCGTGTTGGTCCTTGCGCTATTGTGCTGCTGCTGCAATTCCGTGTGTGTGGCCACTCCGGCGGAGGGCGAACACAAAAGGGAGGGATGCAGGCGCTGCGTGTGTGCGGGTGCCATGCAACAACGTCACAACAAACATGCTGCGACTCGGTGACCCTCACATAGCTGTGGTCCCCACGAACAGCCGAGGCACGGCCCACATCGATGCACTCAGTGGACGGAGTGAGGCATCTTTTGGGGCGCTGCAGGGAACAGGATGTGTTGACGCAGCCACGACGTGCATGGAGTGTCACGATGGCACAGTCAGCTGTGGTTGGTGGAATATTTACTTCTCGGAGGCAACAGAAAGAAAGAGAGGGCTGCTCCTGCTGCTGGCGTCGTTGCTGCCTTTTGTGGCCTCCCATGCCGATTATTGTCTGTCCGCTGATCATGGGTGGTGTGCCTCCACTAGTGACGTCGTCTGCAGGCATTCCACAGCACCAGTGAAACACACATCACGTCGCATGCTTTGGCTGTGGATGTGGTGTTGTGAATGCAGCCGGTATTATTTTGCCCGACTCCTTTTCACTGCTTTGCGACAAATGGATGCGTCGCCGCCCGAGTCATTCACTGCAGCTCCGTGCGTTGTACTGCCAGCACAAGACTCTCTTGTTGTCTGACGCCTGGCTGACAGTCAAACACCACTGCGTTGGGGCATGCAAGGATGTGGACTGCCGCTCACAGTGTTGGGCACCGCTGTTTGGATGCGGCGGCCACACGAGCGGATGTATTGTGGCGCAACCAAATGCGTGAAATACGCGGAATCACAGCGGCTGCAACAATATCAGCGGTGTGGCACCACGGAATATATGAGGGGGTGATGCATGATGAATCACAGTGGGCGGCATGCGAGGGAAGTGCACCGCGACGGAGCGTCATCCCGCCCTCAGCCTGCAGGGGAATGTGCACCCACAAAATATATGGCCGAGGCACCACCAAACACACATGCCCTTCCATGCAGCAATAAATAGGAGCGAAGGTGCGTTCTGGTGTGTGGGAGTCCACTCACATATTATTCATTTCCACCACAACAAACGGCGAGGAATCAGGTGCCACGGCAACGAAAGGAAAAACAAACATCTATTGCAGCACTTTACCAGCGAAAAGCAGGAACAACACAAACCGAATTATTGGCTGCACCAACACAAGAAACATTCACAGGTGGAAAAAACGTAATTGTGTACCCTGCAGAAATCCCCAACACACGATGCAGGCATGAATGGTTACCCTCCGCAACACAAAACAAAATATGCGGACATCTTCCACTCTCTAAAAAGAAACACAAATAAATGTTTGCTTGCCTTATGCCATTCACTGCGCTTATTTTTTGCGTGTGCTGCTGCTGCGGTGGTGGCCGCGCTTGCATGAAGTGGTGTGCGCTGAATGTGAACTGAGGCCGAAGGGCAACTGAACTTTTTTGTGATGAATATTTTCTGCACTTCCCGTGGACCAACAATTCGCGTGGTGTGCGTGGATCTCTCCTTTTTATTGTTGTTACTTTGCTGTTTTGTTGCTGTGTGCGCTGCACCTTCTCTTTTTTGTGTGCGTACCCTCCGTGAGGGGTGCCGACACGACGGACCGCTCTCTCCGTGTGTGCATGCGGTGGGGCCTTGTGTGCCGCTCCTGTTTGCTCCTCCTCTTCCATCTGTGTGTTGTTGTTGCGGCAGGGCTGTGTGTGTGTGTGTGCCTGTTGCCGTGGATTGGAGTGTGTGTCGTGCGTGGTGTGCGGCGTACGGTGCATGCCTGGCTGCTGCCCTCGCCTCATGTGGTGTGCCCTCTGTGTGTGTCTGCCGCACCTCTCGTCTCCCCTGTTGCTCTCCATGTCCCTCACCGTGCAGATCAGCTCCACACCACTGAACGACCACACTCACGATGATGATGACGTGCCGTCTGCTGTACGCTCTGTTGGTGCTCGCCCTGTGCTGCTGCCCGTCCGATTGCGTGATGGCGAGTGAGAGTAAACCTCATCAAGATGTACCCAGTGTTCAGACGACACCGCTACGGCAGCCAGATCTGGGGGCCAGTTCTTCAAATCCACAAACCCATACAGTCTTGGTTACGGGTATTGACGGTGCAGCAGCTCAAGCAGGTTTGGTCGTTGCTGGACAGGGATCAGGTACGAGGACCGATACCGGAAAAGGGGCAGGTGGAATGGCCGGTACGCCAGGGATTCCGGAAAACAGTGCGGAACATCCACGAAGTGAGAACCAAAAATCACAAGGAACAAGTTCCGGGAACGGCACGGTACAAAATCCAGGTGAGAAAGACACGCCGGGGTTAAAAAACCCGGGCGGTGGGGAACAGAGATCAGGCAGGACGGGCAATTCCGAAAAAGGGACAGATCTTGGACCTGCTCTGCCAGACGGTTCAGATACAACAAGCCTGGAGCTTAGTACGAAACAGGAACCAAGTGGGTCAGGTGAGTCAGGGGGTTCAGGTGGGCCCGCTAACCCAGTGCCACAAATTGGGACGGTCGGTTCGGTGTCGTCACAAATTCAGAAGGAAAATGCACTAAGTACTACGACCACCACGACGACTACTGCGCCACAGGCACCAAGTACCACTACGACTACGAAGGTACCAACCACGACGACCACCCGCGCACCGTCACGTCTCCGCGAAATCGATGGCAGCCTCAGCAGCTCTGCGTGGGTGTGTGCCCCGCTGCTGCTCGCAGTATCCGCGCTGGCGTGCACCGCTGTGGGCTGAAAGGGAGCGTGGGCTGTGCGTGCCAGCACTCAGCCACGGGGACATGTGTACGTCTACTGTGGTCCGATGTATGAAGTAAGAGTAATTACGCTGATTGTTTTTGCTTTGTTTGCTTCCGCTGCCCTGCTGTGTGCTCCGCGTTGCTTCCCACATCCGCCACCTTGAACGCGTCCCAGACACACTCATATGCACGAGACGCACACGACTGTTTGCGTGGACGCACTGTTGAGGATGGGTGCATGCGCACGGGAGCCATTTGGGCGCAGCTCTTTTGTGTTTTTACATTTTTTACTTTATTGCTGCTTGTTTACTTTTGTGTTTTGTTGTTGTTAAATTGTTGCAGGTCGCTGTGCGTTTTTGCACTTTCATTGGCTTGGTATTTCTCATTAAATCCGTGCCGCTGCCTTTTGTGACGTTGCGTGGTGTAGCGGCCGTGTCTCTCACCCTTTGCTTTCACTCTGCGTTGACGGGGAGTTATTTTGTGCCGAAGGCTGCACGCAAGTGAAAGGAGTGATGGCGATGATGATGGCTGGCCGTGTGCTGCTGGTGTGTGCCCTCTGCGTGCTGTGGTGCGGTGCCGGCGGTGGAAGTGTCGACGATTTGGATGTTGACGGTAAAGCCGGCGGTTCTTCGAGTGGTGGTGAAGATACGCTGGGATCGCCAAGACCTTTACTGCCAGAACCAAACCTCTCGGACTTCAGAAAGAAGTCAGCCAGAGCATCAGGGAAACGCGTCACCATCCCGAGCTGCAGGTGAAGTTGTTGGAGATGATGATGCTGAGAAAAAGAAAGAAGATAATGATTCGAATGATGGTGATGATGGCAGTGAAGAATCAGGGCTACCTCCACCACCAGCAACAGGAGCTTCAGGAAAAGAAGACACCAAAAAATCACTTATTACTTTGCCACAAGTATCTGGTGTTGGCAGTTCTGCCGGTGGTGGCGGCGGCCCAAGTGGAAATCCTAACAGAAGCGGTGATAATGTGTTGAGTTCTTCCGCTCTTATTTCTGCTCCTCCACCTTTCATTTCCACTGGTGGCAATGGTTCACAGACCGTTATTGGTGTGTCATCCACCCAGCAAATGGAATATTCAAAAGAAAGTTTGAATTTATTTAAAAAACCTGCGCAGGACATACCGTCCAAAGAGCACCCACAAGAGAAGCCAGCACCCAATGCTCGCGAAGTTTCCTCCACTCAACGAGTGACGACAAAAAGTCAATTTGTTGGTGAGGATACAACTGGAGAAGATGAGGCGCGGAACGGCAATGTAGCAAACGACCCCTCCAGCAAACAAACAGAACAAATAGCGTTACAAAAAACACAGACACAACCAATCAAAGTAACAAAAGATCCAATATCAGCACTACCACCAACAGAGAAATCACCAGCACCAACAGTTAAAGCAGGAAAAGAAATCCCACCGGCAACAACAGGCTCCCAGACCTCAACAGAACAAAAGCAAGAAGGATCACCGTCACAAACCGAAACGCAGCCAAAAGAAATGAAGCAGTCTTCAACAGATGGTGCAGGGGAGCAAAAAGGAAAAGACTCCGTCTCATCAGATTCGATGAAGGATGCAGTTACCGACAACCCAGGAAAACCAACAGCAACAACCATCCCTACAAGTAGAAGTGGAGATGCCCAGGAAAAGGAGGGCAAGGATGATGGCACCGATGAACGGCCTACCTCCAAAGAACACAACAGCAGCCCCGAAACTGGTAATACAAGCGATGCTCTTACAGCCAGCGAAAATACACCACAAAAAGCAGAAACAACAGCCACCACCGTCGCCAAAAAAAATGATACGACTATTGGAGACAGTGACAGCAGCACCGCGGTCTCCCACACCACCTCCCCTCTTTTACTTCTTCTTGTTGTTGCGTGTGCGGCTGCGGCTGCGGTGGTGGCCGCGTGAGAGTGAGGGAGAGAGAGCCGTGCACCGCCCGCACACACACTCTTCCTTCTCTCTCTCTGTGTGTGTGTGTCCCCTTGCATGGAATCTCGCCCTCACCTCACCCCACGAAGCACACACATAATGTGCCCATTGTATATATGCATGCACACCCATGCAGGCCCGTTGGTGCTCTCTTTTGCACGACACGCACCGCTGCCGTCCTGCCTGGCTGCATGGGCGGAGCACCGTAACTGTTTCTGTTTTGTTTTTATTGCATTGAGTGGGCGACCTCTCTCTCTCTCCCTCTGTGTGTGTGTTTTGCTTTACGGGAGCAATGGGAGTGTGTGTGCGCTGGTCGTCCCACGCTGCGGCTTTTTGTTTTGTTTTTCTTTTTGATTTTGTGGTTGGGTGCATCCATTCCGCCGGCTGCGTGTATGTGTGTGACGATATGAGTAATTTGCGTGTGTGCTATCCGCTTCTTTCTTCATGGGTTCTTTTTTTGGACTTTTTGTGGCGCACAGCTGCTCTGCAAGTATGGGCTTCGACAAACACGCAAGCACATGCACACACAGACAAGCCCTGTTGCACACGTTGTGGAGTGGCGTGAAAGCAAGCACGCACACACAAGATTCTGGCTGCGGTTGCTTCTGCGAGAAGAGCTTGAGTCCGCGATTTGCCTCGTCGACGTTTTGTGGGCGTGATGTTGGCGCTGTGCAGCAATTGAATGGTGTGGCCTTTCGGGTGCGTGGGACAATTGCGGATTGACTCGCATCCAACAGCTGTACCTGCCGATGTGGCACTGCCGTTGTGTATACGTTGGCGGGGGATTCTCCGGCTGTGTGGGGTGATGTGCGGGTGCGTTGGAGGAGACAGCAGTTATACGACTAGCGGCAGCGCGTGGGTGCCGCGAGGGGCGTCTGTGGGTTGTTTCTTGTGTGTGGGCGTTGCTTAGTCTCGTGAAGCGTGACGAATAACTATGTACCCGCTGTGGCTCCTGCTGCTTCTTCTGGTGGTGACCGTCGCTGTGTGTTCCCGGTGCACTGTTCTTCCATCTCCTGTTCCGTGTGTGTGTGTGCGTGAGTTGTTGTTGTTGGGAGTGACTGCGGCGGGGATGATGATGCCACTCACTGTGGATGGGTGGCGGTGCTCGCTGTTTCATCCTCTTTTCTTGGCATGTTTTCTCTCTATTTCTCCCTCAATCACACACTAAGAAAGAAGGAAAAAAAAGCGCTAATCGCTACTGTGAAATTTGAAGGCACTGAAAGGACCAACAGCACAGACCGCCCACACACACAGATATTTATATGCTCTCACGTGTTGCTGCAGTGAAGGCACCCCGCACACACAACCGTTGCCGCGTGACCGGATCCAGCGGGAGGAGGAGGGAAGGAAGAGAGAGTGAGCCGCAGAGGCCCCACATGTCCCGGCATCTCTTCTACTCTGCGGTGCTGCTCGTCCTCGTTGTGATGATGTTCTGCTGCGGCAGTGGCGCTGCATCCAATGAGAAGACGCTGACAGATTCGGAACTTCCAAAGAGGAAATTGTTTGTTTGGAGAGACACGACAGATGAGGTAACGGTGGATTCGCTCCGTGTTCCCAGTCTTTTGAAAGTGAATGGTGATGTGTTTGCCGTTGCCGAGGCGCTGTTCACGAGGGGGGTAGAAGGCAGTTTTGCTGGGATTGCCTCGGAGCTCCTGACGTTGACCGATAAACAAACAAGCAAGGAGCTGGATAAAACTAAACTCAAGACACAAGTACTGGGGAAATGTTCTTCTGGAAAAGAGGAATGCCCCACCCAAGCAGTGGATCAGGCTGGCACCAAAAGCGGAGCGCAAGCACTTGTGAGTAAACCAACAACAGTTGTGCATGGAAGTGATATTTACATGCTGGCTGGAACCTACAACCTTGATGGTGTCGCTGCTGCTGGGGAGGATATAACATATGAATGGGGGCTTTTGTTGGCGAGAGGGAACGTCAGTGTTGTTGATGGCCGTAACAAAAGAATTTATTGGACTGATGTTGACGCTCTCCCGATCACTTCTAATACTGAACAATATGGATATGTGACAGAACTGCTTGGGAGCGGTGGATCGGGTGTTAAGATGGAGGACGGTACGCTTGTGTTCCCTATGGAAGGCGAGGTGTATAGAACGGTGGAGGCGGATGAAGAAAATACAGCTGGGGGGGGATACACTGTCTCACTGTTCATATACTTCCCGGATAATAAGAGTTGGAAGCTGTCGAAGGGGATGTCTGCCGATGGCTGCGGTGTTCCCTCCGTCGTGAAGTGGGAGAAGGACAAACTCATGATGATGACTGCGTGTGATGGTGGCCGCAGGGTGTACGAGTCCGGTGACAAGGGGGATTCGTGGACGGAGGCGCTCGGGACACTCTCGCGCGTGTGGGGCAACGACGAGGGAAATGTGTGGAGCGTTAGGAGCGGGTTCACCACAGCAAAGATTGGCGATAACAGGGATGTGATGCTCGTCATTCTGCCGGTGTATTCGAGTAAGGACGGCAATGGAAAGGGTGAACTCCATCTTTGGCTGACAGACAATACGCACATTGTTGATATTGGGCCGGTATCCGAGGAAGATGATGACGTCACCACAAGCTTCTTGTTGTACAAAAGTGCTGGAAGTGGAGATGGTGATAATGAGGGGGAGAAGTTGATTGCACTGTACGAGAAGAAGAAGAAAGTTAATCACGAACTATCTTACGGTATGGTTACTGTGTGTCTGACTGCGCAGCTGCAGCGGGTGAAGGAGGTGCTGACGACGTGGAAGAAAGTGGACGAACGTGTCTCCCAGCTGTGCACCACTTTACTTGCTGAGAAGGTTGCCTTGACTGAAATCGCCTGCACTACTGGTAAGATCACGGATGGGTTGGTTGGATTTTTGTCCGGCAACTTCTCTGAGAACACATGGAGGGACGAGTACCTCGGGGTGAACGCCACAGTAAAGGGGAATGATGGGGCAACAAAGACTTCCGATGGTGTGACGTTCCAGGGAGCGTGGGCGGAGTGGCCCGTTGGCAGTCAAGGGGAGAATCAGCTGTACCACTTTGCGAACTACAACTTCACTCTTGTGGCGACGGTGTCTGTTGACGGTGAGCCGACGGAATATACCCCCATTCCATTGTTGGGTGCGAAGGTGGCTGGCGTTGAAAATAATCCTGTGCTCCTGGGACTGTCGTACAACGGCGGAGGGAAGTGGCAGTTGCTGTGCGGTGACGAAACGAACAAGGAAATAAGCAGCACATGGAAGCGAGGGACAAAACACCAAGTGGCCATTGTGCTACGGAACGGCACCCATGGCTCCGCGTACGTCGATGGTGTGCGTGTGGGTGAGGATGCGCAATGTGAATTGGAAAATACGGATTCGGAAGGGATCTCGCACTTCTACATTGGAGGGGATGGTGGCATTGCAGACAACACAGAAAGCCGAGAAGGCGTGTTTGTGACGGTAACGAACGTCTTGCTGTACAACCGCCTGTTGACTTTTTCAGGTGGGAATGCCGAGGTGGAAGAAGTTACCGATTCACCATCAGCGGAGCCTGCTTCTCCATTTGTGGCAAGGAATCAAAATGCGGCGCCTCCTGCAACGATACCTCCTGAAGCTCCGGTGGAGCAAACGACCTTGCAGCAGCCTCAACAAGGACGTGAAACACAAAAAAATACGATGGTGGTGGAATCTGCCAACACACACCACGCGCCGGCGAATACATCGCAGGGAAGTGTATGGAAGGCGGCGGCTTCGAACTCCCATGCCGTTGGAGAAGCAACAGTTGATGGCGGCACCATGCGTGGGAGCAAACTGCTGCCATCGCTGCTGCTTCTGTTGGGACTGTGGGGGTTTGCGGCTCTGTGAGGAGTGACTGGCTGCCGCGTGGGACACTTGCGACCTCCGCTGCACAGAATTACTTCCAAGAACTAATTTATCCTTAAGATAATTTGCTTTTTCTTGCTTTTGCTTTGTTGTGCGTTTTAAACCTTTTCTTTTTTTTCTTTTACTTCTTTTTATTTTTAAATTATTTTGTGTTTTTTTTCTTTTTCTTTTATCTCTCACTCCCATCCCTTTTTTTGCTTTTGGGGGCAATCACTATGGATTTTTTTCTTTTCTACTCCTCCCTCTTTAATTGTTTGTTGCTGCACTCTTCCTGTGAGGGGTGCCGTGTGTTTCCCGCCCAACTGCTCCACTCGCACACCCACCGACACGCTCATGACGACGGCCCTGTGCGCCTCGCCTGCTGCACGCATGAGGAGGGGCCGCGACGAACGGCGCGCTGAGGGAGCCGTGACGTGTGGGCGTGCGACGAGGGCCTTTGGGGCGGAGCACACATTTCTTTCCCTCTTGTTTTGTTTTCTTGCGGCCAGGGCGGGCAGACACCCGCAGCGCCACACACACAGCCACACCCTGCCGCCGTTGTTTTTTTTTTTTTTCGTGTTCATTTCACGCGCTGGCAGTCCCGTTAGCATTTCTCTCCCTCCTGATGATTTTTTCTTTTGCTGCGCTCACTCCCCGATGGAGTGACGCGACTCCCGTCATGTCTGCGTGCTTCTCTCAGTCCCCACACACACGAGTGACTGTGCTCTGCGGGCCGCATTCGCACGCCGATGAGAGGGCTGCGGGGAGCAGCAACACGCGGATGACCCCGTGAAATATAAACGATGTGCGGACACATGGAGGGTCGGACGGTTGAAACACACGCAACCATCTTTTCGGTTTTCTTTTCGGGCAAAATAAATACGGACAGTTTGGTGTGGCCACACGGCAGCCAGGCGATTTCTAAATTTGTGTGCGACAGTAATGGACGATTTCTTTTTTATAATTATTTTGTGTGATGGGGTTTACATAAGACGAAGGGGATGTTCTTTTTTTGTTTTAAATAAATCTTTTGTGGATTGCCGCTGCTTGGGCTGCAGTGCAGTCATGAGTTTGAGCGGTCCTCTTCTTGTTGTTTCCGCCATGCGTCTCCGCTGTACATTTTTTTGTTGTGCGTCCCTCCACATACTCTGCTCCCTCTTTTCTACTTCTTTGCTTTGTGTTTCTGCAGGCACACACAACCACACACACAAGATGCACATTGCAGTGGATTTGAATGCTCCTTTTGTAGTGCATGCTGGCAGTTGCGTGTGGCGGCTGCGCTGCAATTCTGCGTGCGTGACGGCTGCTGGGAGTCCTGGAGATGTATCTGTTGATGCGGATGCGGTGGTTGTGCCGGTGGATGTGTCGTGTGCTCCGAGTGACGGCAGCCTGAGCTATCGCGTGTGTGTGTGTTTGTGGGCGTGGAAGAAGTGTTCCGCAGCCAGTGCTGAGGCTCAGTAGGAGAATTACACTTTCAGTGGCTTTGATGTGCGCATGCATGGCAGGAATGGTGAGCTGGGTGCTGTGCGCCATGTGGCCAATGCGGTGCACACATGTCGTAACTGTGCTGCCAGCTGTGCAGTGAAAGAGGAAGGGGCCACCGTTGCCTTCACGATGAATGTGACGACACATAAATACGCCGGCCCCTATGAAGTGTGGCGGCGTCATTTTCTCCCGATGGAACCATCCATCCGCCTGCACGGAGCAGCGATGCTGACCAGACAGTTATCCGTCAGTTGCCGCCACCCCGTGAAGGGAGAGATGACACAAAATCTGGTGGGACAACTGCGCCGCAAGTGAATGCTGAGCCGTCACGTCAGAACGAGGATTGGCGGCAGCCTGCGGCGGCTGACGCACCCAACACCGTCGATCCGAGTCCCGCATCCAACACGGAGAGCAACACGTCCGAGAAGAAGCCTGAGTTTGCCTTTGGTTGAAACAGAATAATGGCTCGGACACCACCCGGAAGAAGATCCAAGCCTGTCACCGAGCCGAAGGAGGATCCCGTTGATGATGCGATGAGTGGTTCAATAAATGTTGAGTTGCCGCAGGGAGTTGATCTATTTGTGCCGCAGACGACGCTGGTGCAGTTGGAGGATGGGATTGTTCCAGTTACGACGAGGGATTCGTTTGCCTCACCCTCTCCTGTCAGTGCTGGTGGAGTAATTGCTGCTTTCGCCGAGGGTCACACGGATGCCGAACATCAAGGTGGTCAATTAAGTAAGCCCTTTTCCTCTGATGTTGTTGCGGGGTGCATTGGCTCTGCGTGGGATTGGTCCGCTCTCGTTGGTGAGGTCAATAAAAGGATGCATAGAGGGCACACACTGTGCTTGGTGCAGCGGAGGGAGAGGAGAGTTTGGGTGTTGTGCTCCGCCGCACAACAATCACGAAGGGCCACGGAGTGTTTTCTCCTGCGGGAGGCTCTGATGTGTTCTACAAAGGTGTGTGTTGGAGAGAGGGTGGCTTGGAGCTGAGACTGGTTGTGGGTGATGTCACGAATCCCACGGGTGGCAAGCGGAGTGGACGCATCGAATGGGACGACCCCAAACCACTCCCGGAACGGATCTCTTCTGCTTCTCACGAAGGTGACTGGACGGAGTTCATTGTTTCTGGTGGCGCAGGTGTTGTGATGGAGGATGGCGCGCTTGTGTTTCCTCTGATGGCGAAGGATGAGGCAGAAGACGTTTGCTCCATGATCATTTACTCGACGGACAGCGGCAGTGCCTGGGCGCTCTCTGAGGACACTTCCCCTGCGGAATGCCTTAACCCCCGCGTCACCGAGTGGGAGGGATCACTTCTCATGATTGTTGACTGCGAGAATGGCCGGAGGGTGTACGAGTCGCGTGGCATGGGGACAGCGTGGACGGAGGCCATTGGGACACTCTCAGCCGTGTGGGTCAACACACGATCAGGAGTCCCTCAGAAGGAAAGCCTGCGTGTGGATGCCCTCATCACCGCGACCATTGAGGGAAGGAAGGAGGGTCATGCTGTGCACTCAGAGAGGGCATGCCTCGGGGAAGAAAAGGGCCACTGCGCTCTGCCTTTGGATCACGGACAGCAACCGCACGTTTTCTGTTGGACCGGTTGCCGTGGACAATGCTGCGGATTGGTGCTCGCCAGCACCCTGCTGCACTCGGATGGCAGTTTGCATCTTTTACGACGGAGGGGCAACGGTGAATGCCGTGTCATCTCACTTTCCCGCCTGACGGAGGAACTGAGTGCAATCAATTCCGTCCTCAGTACCTGGGCGCAAAAGGACATTTTCTTCTCCAGCTTGTCTACACCCACGGCGTGTCTGGTGGCAGTGATTTGTCCGATGCCGCCAGTGATGACACGTGGAACGACGAGTACCGTTGCCTGCATGCGGCAGTGACGGAACGCAGTGAAGGACAGCGATGGGTTACAATTGACGGGACTTGAGTCCAGGGCAATATGGCCTGTGAACACTCGGAGTGATGAAGTGCGTCATGTATCTTTGAGCCACGACTTCACACTTGCGGCGTCGGTGAGCATAGAAGAGACTCCGACTGGGAACACGCCTCTACTGACTGCGGTGCTGGCGCACACTGCGTCCAATCATACTATGGGACTGTCGTGCAGCCACAATAAGAAGTGGGAGACGGCGTTCGAAGGCAAGACAACAACACGGAGCAGCAATCGGGAGCCGAGGAAAGAACACCAAGTGGCACTCATGCTGCAATGCAACAAGACCTCTGTGCATATTGATGGTCGGTCGCTGGGAGAGGAAGAGGTGCTGTTAGCAGGCGAGAGGCCACCTGAGGTACTGAGGGTTCGCTTTGGTGCGTGTGGTGGGCACGAATCTCATGTGACGGTGACGGACGTCTTTCTGTACAGCCGCCCACTGAATTCCACTGCGATGCGTGCACTCAAGGACAGCGTCCCCGTTCCGACAAGGGAAGCGGCTCCGACACCGCCCGAGAAGATTCGAGTGGTTGACAGCGTCAGTGAGCACGTTGCTGGGGATATTACAGAAGGGAAATGAATGGGCGCGACGCCCCTGGAAACGAATCCCTACTACAAACAGTCACCTCACAGGGTGTGGAGCGGCTTGAGTCCCGACGACCGCCTCGCCTCTCTCAACGACGTGAACTTGACACTGCGTGATTTAGGCGGTAACAACACCGTGCGTGTGTGCGTGTCTTGTTTATTGCTGCTTCTTCTGGAATTGTATTTGGGTGGTGGCAGACTTCTGAGCCACAGAGTGTGGATCCGCGGCTTCTCACCTAGAATACATGCCGCATTGCCCGCGCTTTTTTACTTATCTTTTATTTCTTCAATGTTTTTACTTTTAAATGTCTTTTTAATGCAGTTCAGATGTAGTAATAAGTACTGTTGTTTTTCCTTTACGTAATGTCCGGCTGATGCACACTGTAATGAGCGAAGTGTTTCCCGCTCTTGCTTGCTTTTCTTTTTGCCCACACGTTGTGCCGGCCCTGCGGCTGTGGAGTCCCACGGACTGCTCGAAAGGAGGATTGGAAGAACAGGCCGGATGCCGCATGAAATGTGAGGGATGTTGTGTGGGCTGGTGAAATAATAATGCGATCTGTTTTTATTTATTTTAATTTCCCTTTTCCTTCTTGGAGCGGGGAATATGTATACACACAAACACACAGTCGTATTGTTGTGGTCGACAAATGAAATAAAAGCCCTGCAAAATCAATTTTTCCATTAATTTGTTGCTTTTGGGAGTCATGCCGGACTCTCGTCTTTTTTATTGTTTCTTTGATCCCTGCGGCTTGTTTCTGTAGTTACCGTATCTGCTGTCACTTTGCGTCTCTGCTTCCCGTTGAGTGTCCCACTGCTGGCCGTGCTGTTGACATGCCTCATTTTTTCTTTCCTGCTAGAGGCACCGATGGTCCGCGACGACGATTGTTTGTGTTCCCCATTGCGATGGCACGAGGGTGACTGGGCGCCGGCCTGCTGAGTGCACTCGGAGGAGAGCGGATTGTGTGCGCCGTGCCTCACTGTGAGTGTGGGACGCC